GCAATAACAAAAGGCATATACGTAATTTAAAGTTGTTATAAAGTGAAGCCACATTTAATCATACTACCTGTACCGTAATTTATATATTCTTTACCATTTATTGAGTCAACGGCTGTTCCAATGTACATGTTTATGTTGAAATCAGTTTAATAAATGGTGTTGTGTTGGAGTTTACTGCAGTTCTACTGCTCTCTATTTTGATCTGCAGGTTTTATAGTACGACGGGGTCATGCGGGGCAGATATATAAATAATATACATATAAATAATAATTATATAAATAATATAAATTGAACAAACATGTTTGCCCCCCTTTTTTCATGCACAAAAACATCGGACCCCTCTTTTTCGCCCAGCCCCCTGTAATTAATGACCGGTCCCTTAGGCAGATAATATAACTATAGGGCCCCCGGTTATTTATCCACCTAGCATAGTCTGGTTTGAATTTAACCAGGACGTCCTGGTCACATTAACCAGACTATAATGGTTAAAATGACCAGGAAATTAACCAGGAATGTTAAGTTAATTTAACCCAAATAGTGTTATTTCTTACAGCAAAAATTTATTTATTTAATTTGATTTATTGCAGTAATAAATTTACGTGGTGCTTCCACAAACAAAAAGTATTATAGTGTTATTTCTACGCTAACCAGGGAAATTTTAAAAGAGTGTTTTTACCGAGTGCTTCGATCTTTAAAGTTCCAAGATGGACATGTTCCTCATCCAAGATGAGCGTGTAGCCAGGTAAACAATTAAATTGGTTTATATCGACCTCTCAATTTCGAGACAAGATTCAGGATTAACAGTAGTAACCTTGGCAAGATTTATAGTTCTATTTCAGAATCATCCTCAGAGATACGAAAAACCAGTTTCATATTATTCTGACACTGTAATCAGTGTTGAATTATCGAGTTGGTATAAGGGAATGGGCAAACTTTGGCTCACTTTTCCACCATGAATGTGTCTTGGAAGCCTGGTCTCCAGTTAATTCGACGATGGGAAAGAGTTTGAAATACATGATAATTCGAGACAGAGAGAATTTAATTGAGCATTATACCTAAGCCAAATACAAATTACATGAAAAAGGTTTTGCCTACTGAAAACAGTCTCGTACCCAGGTTCTTTAGTAATAAATATAGCAGCTTCAGAGCTCTGGGTGAGCTTTTAAGCGCGCGGGGATTCTTGGGGAGGTCCCTCCTCAAAAACTCACCAAGAGCTCTGAAACCGATATTTATTACTAAAGAGTCTGGGTACGAGGCTGTACAGAGGAGCTAAGGCTTGGAATAACATTACCATTGACTTAAAATCCACAAGAAGTATCTCTGTATGGCTTTAAAACTAAAATCAAACATATATGTAAATCTTGTGTATACTCGTATACTGTATAGTACATATAGGACTTTAATCAAAGGTTTATTTCAATAAAGTTCAGTAAAGTTTTTACTCACAGTAGAGATATATGTACAATGGACAAAATAGTGAAATTCATACTATGGAATTTGCGATTACATCACTAAATCCATAGTATATCCATACTATTTCCATAATATATCCATAATAGTATGGAAATTGCAATTAGTATGAAAATAGGCGATTCCAGCCTTAAATTTATGCACGCAGGGGGTGATGGGAAGTAAGGTATCATATTGCTGATTATGCTGAAAAATTTCAATAGAAACTGCCTTGTTGTTCGAAACAACCGAAATATTTCAATACTTACAAGTATAAGCTATCACTCCGTGTTTACACAGCCGTCATTTTCATTTTTTCCAGCATAATCATCAATATGATACCTTACTTCCCATCCTCCCCTGCGCGCATAAATTAAAAGCTGGAATTGCATATTGGATTTTCATACTATTTTCAACTAATTAGATCCATACTATTTCCATAGCAAGGATTTTGAAAAACATTTCCAGTGATAACAGATTAAATGGACTATACTCCTGACCAAATCGAAAATTCTTGACTATACCTAGACTCCTAGTTGAACAAACAAAATAGAATGTTGCGGTGTATCACAGCCAATTCGAAAATGATTGTCCTTTGCAAACCTTAAACCTTAAACTCTAAGCGCGCAAAGCTTAATGGGGGCACAAGTTTCAAGCTTAGTAGTTGAATATTACAGCTATCTGTGAATGAATTGTTCTCGTATGGAGATATTTACCATGTCTCTAAGAAATGGGTCCCATATATGATTTCTAAACTGATTAAATGATGCTCCCATTATGCTTTGCACGCTTAGAGTTGAAGGTTTACAGTTTAAGGTTTGCAAAGAACAACCTTCTTTGAATTAGCTGTATATAGCCGGTCCAAATTATAAGCCTTACAAAATTAACCAAAAACCTAAAAAATGCGGAAAACAACGGCTATATTACCTCACCCACAAAAAACCTTTCTTCAATGCGAAGGTTCCTTGACTCCCTATAGTTTTAATCAGGTTTTAATATCCGCAAGTAATTTTAAGTGGTCCTCATTGCACCTCTTGAAGACGTGAAGTATGTATAACTATAATACAGGTATTGATAGCTTAAAAAATAATATAAGATTTTACACATATTGTGTTGCCACGGTAATCGAACTCCTACTCCATACGGCCATATGGCCCTTATGATAAATTCCATGTAAAATCATGTTGCGCTTCTTAAGACTCTACTCCCCCAAACTTTACACCCTTTTCGGCTTAAGATATGTAAAATCATGTTGCGCTTCTTAAGACTCTACTCCACCCAACTTTATACCCCTTTCGGCTTATGATATGTAAAATCATGTTGCGCTTCTTAAGACTCTACTCCACCC